GTCCGAATGACCTGAAATTTTGCACACGCTTAACATTCAACGCTATGGAGCTACTCCGACTCTCGGAATTCCATTCCGACCCCTTGATCAAAATCTCACTATCTGTCACGCCCCAACCTCGGGAGGTGCGACCGACGCTCAATCAAGTGAACCTGACTGAGCAAGCCTCACCAAACACTTTCTAGCCAACTTAATGTAAATAAGGGACCCATGCTTTCATTAATTTAGATGAGGATACATAGTGTATGCAACATCGTTGGTTCGTTTCATATCACTATACCGTAGATAAGTTAGCTTTAAGGATTCTATTAGAGTTACAATTTACGGAAATCACAAGTTTAGGATTACAACATAGCTAATGGACTCCCCACACACCCGTACATAACCCACACTAGTGTCTACGGAGCCTCTAAGGATATAACAGATAAGCATAACTGTGCCAGCAACAAGGCCCCGGCTATACCTCAAAAGTTGAAGTCTATAGTAACAGAAGATACACAATATAACCCCTAGAAAGAGAAAGGGGCTCACCAAGACTTCGAGTAGAAGAACGCTCCGCTACACACGATCGGCACTGTCCGCTATGGAGCCACCTACATTCATTTAAAAATGTAGCACCCCCGGCAAAAGGGACGTTAGTACCATAGAATAGTACTAGTATGTATAACTAAATACCATTTTACTAGAAAGAACTATCAAGCAAGTACAAGTAAGTACATGAGTAAATCAAGTATGCACATCATATAATCTTTCATATAATTTTCCAAAACTTAGTTTGGGGCATTTCTTTCATATGTTCATTACTGTTCTCAATACCACTGTTATCTTGAGCGAAGCTCGATCACGACCCGACCGGCTAGGTCACCTCATTGGAGGCATATATCTCAATCACTGTTTCATTTCCCTTATCCGAATTTCAATATCAGCACATTACCACCATGTGTGCAGCATGGTGTCCGATCACGACCCGATCAGCTAGGTTGCCTTGCCTAGGCATTATTCCTTTCTCATTAGTCAACACATCGAAATCTTTATTTTACATATCTCATATCAATTCCTTTGCACTTAGGGCCACCATTATCACATTGTTTTCTATTGTCAATACTCATCTTGCAAGTTGTGATCATAGGCATATACAAAAAAAAAAAATTAAGTTGCAATCACAGGTAAGTGAGCACACAGCTAGAATGCATAATTCTCCGTTTCGATATTGGCTTATAGCCCAAGCATTTCAACACATAATTGTATTTTTCATCCTTCTCTAATTATCAAGAATGGTACATTACACCCATTGAGGCACAACCTTTATGTATATGTGTAGATAATTGCAAATCAATTAATGCACAACAGCAATCAATACATTAACCAATCCAATCTTACCACACTTTCGTAAACACCAACGGAGCTCAATTTCTAATAAAAGGGGGTTTTAGCCATACATATCTCAATATAGCTTTCCTTACTCTTTACAAAATTCCGGAACTCTTAGCACTTCGATCTATTGCGTAAGAATTACAAATTAAATCGAGAATCAGAGATGAGATTGAGGCTCTAACTTGTTTCAATCATATTGTCAAACACTAAAGGTGTATTATGATCTTAGGCCCCTTTTGAGGGGAATTTCTATCATTTTATACCCTAATTGCTTTCTCTTTAGTTCATTACCTCCCAATACCCCAAGGTTTGATATGCATGTAAGGAATCCATTCCTATACCCATGAATCACCTCCCTAATGACCCCTTATAGCTAAGTGTAGAAATAAGAGCTGAGGGGAAGAAGTCTTACCTTTTGGAGAGAAGATTAGGTGCCTTCAATTGATTATCTTCAAGGTTTTAGCAAGATTCCATGGAGCAATATGACGGGGAGAACTTTCTCTCACTTAGACCTCTCTCTCACTCTAGAAATGTCCAGAAGAATGCTCAAAATGAGTTATAATACCGAATATAGCGATAGGGAGGTCGGGTTAAAAATTAAAAAATTGGAGCCCCGAGTCAGATATGCGGTCGCATTTGCGATCGCAGAGTCAACATGCGACCCGCATAATGGACCGCAAAATGCTCCCCAGAAACTGGACACGCTGTCTGAGTCTGCGGCAGAAATGCTGTCCGCATTCACGTTCTGCGGTCGCAAAATGCACCGCAGAACTGACCTCCACAAAATTCAAAGGAAATTATGCGACGACTATGCGGTCCGCATTTTAATTATGCGACCACATTATTGACCGCATAGTTGACTTCAATTTAACCAACACACTAACTAACTCCGCGGCAGATATGCGGTCCGCATACCTGATTTGTGGCCGCATTCTGGACCGCATATTTGCATTTTTTCCGAGAACTTTATTCTAACTCATGCTCCTAATTTGGCACCACGAGATTCGGATTTTTTAGTAGGAATTTCATGGGGCCTTACACTATCGAACCAGAAACTTCAAAAATTCAACTTTTGTTATTTCAAGCCTAAATAAGCTACGGACCTCCAAAACACAATCCGAACACGCCCCTAAGCCCGAAATCACCCAACGGAGCTAACGGAACCGACATAATTCCTTTCCGAGGCTGTCTTCACACTGCTCCGACTACGGTCCAAATTTTAAAGTTTAAGCTCTCGTTTAGGGACTAAGTGTCCCAAAACACTCCGAAACTCTAAACGAATCCTCCCGGCAATTCACAATAGCAGAAATAAATACGGGGAAAGCAGTTATTAGGGGATCAGGGCGTTAATTCCTAAAACAACCGACGGGGTCGTTACATATTGACAAATCAAAATTGAGGTTATCCTTTCTACCTTTATTCAATTTTTTGAAACAAATTTTCAACTCTCAAGAATATAAATAGAAAATACAGTAAAAGAGAAAAGAAAGACACGCTTAAAACATGGTATGCAGAGAAATGTCTTGTTTTTTTTTTTTTAATATTTTCTTTTCCTTTTTGTTTATGTATTGGCTTTAATTTGAAGAAGCTAAGTCGCTTGAAAAGATCAAGTATAAGCATCCAATAAGAAAAAGTTAGAAGAAAACAAGTTAATGTTGCTACACAAAATTGCAGAAAATATATAAGATAACACACGAAGAGCAAACTTGTTCATTTCTAGGTTACATTAAATACGTTAAAGAGATGTTTTGCGGTACTGGAAATCAGCCGAGAAATGTATGTTTCAAGCGAAAGTTTGTGAAATTTTCTTTAAAAAAAATTGACACTATAATTATGGATGAAGTAAAAATATTTAAGCTGCTAGGTAATTAGGTACAAGCTAAAAATTAAATTTGACAGCAAATTTACCTCCCCATCGATAATCATTGATTTAAATTACAATGAATTTTTACATTTTTTGTTCCTCAACTATCAATAAATTCGAATTTTGGTCCTTGTGATTTTTGAGAACACATTCAACTTTCAGTTAATTAATGTATACACTTTTGATCCCCTTGATTGTAAATCTCAACAAATACAACAAATTATTAAGTGCTAAACTGTTTAACTGTAAATGTTTAAATTTGTATTGTTACTCCATATTTAAATATAATATAATTTTATAAGCTGTCAAAATATCATATATTATTATATCAAGAGACCAAAAATACACATTTAATTAACTTAGGATTATATGTGTTTTGCCAAATTTACGAGAAACAAAAATATAAGAATTTTCCAACAATTAAGAGACCAAAAAATGCGAACCCGTCACCTCTATTTGTTGTTTTTGGTCTTCTCATTTCTTTTTCTTTTTTTACTCATTTAATGTTGTTAAATCACACCGTCAAAGATTTTCGAATATCTAGAAAATATTTCTGACTTTGAGTGTTTAAAATTTATATGAACATATTGTAAAATTGAAGGCAGTTAACATTTACAAAGAAATTGACATCGTTTTTCTCTCTCACTTGAATTAAAGTACTGAGACAATTTATCAATTGAAATAATGATTGTAAATGTAAATTCTTCGAAATTTTATCAATATCCACACAAAAAAGGGGTGCATGAGGAGTTCGAGGAATGATGTAAGTAACCTACCCTAATGCAAGTATTAATGATTGATTATATGACTCAAAATTTTATCAATACCCCTGATGTAATTTTTTTTTTGGTTCAATCATTCGCTTTAAACAAAATTGAATTTACAAGACAAGCCAAGTTCTTTTTTTCTTAATTATCAAAGTGAAATGATCATTAAGTAATTTAAAAATGTAATATCTTTTCTCACTGATATTCACAATCTTATGCAATTATAATTTCTGATAGTTGACTTTCTCTTTCTTTTTTTGTCGTATTCAGTTCTCAGTTCATTTTTAGTTGTTCACTTTTAACTTCATAATTCTTTTTAAGAAAAATAAATTAAATATGTATTTTACAATTTTACCCATAACAATAATAGCATTTCAAAAAGTCTTGGGAAATAATTTGGGGAATGAGTAGTTAATAATAAGAGTAAAATAAGAAAAAATCATCTTTATCTTGATTTGCTAAAATGAACAAGTAAAAATAAAAATAAAAATAAAATTTTAATACAGTGGACAAGTAAAGCCAAATGGATGGAGTAATTAGTAGTAACCACATTACTATAAGTAATCTGATTACTGTAATGTATAATAAATTACATTAAGACCCAATATTAGAAAAGAAAGAAAAAGCTCTTCCTTACGTTTTAGTGCTAACCGATTTCTATTTTTCTCATTAAAATATAAGACAAATGAAGTAACTTAACCCCATTTATTTTTAGCAAAACTGATGCAGATTGCCTATTTATATGCATGTAAAAGCAAATCATGACTAATTGGGAAGACCAGCTAAATTGCAGCAATCTACTATAATAGCAAATGACTAAATTATTGCATTAATTTACGAAATTAATCATTCCGTTATCTCTAAATTTACGACAACAATTGTAATCTCTATTGGGATTATCCTTTTTTTATGGCCTTAGTGTTGTTACCCTCTTAAGATTTTGGCTATAAATTTCACGCCAAAGTACTCCATTATCCAGGCAAATCAACCACAGAGCTAAAACTAATTTAGAGAAAGATTGTTAAGCCTAAAATGGCAAAACAGCAAAGTTTTTTATGCTTGGTCATCACCATTTTTGTTTGTTTTATAGTTGTAGCATTTGAAACTAAACAGGTAGAAGGAGCTTTGAATGGCGATGGATGGAGAAATGCTCGTGCTACATTTTATGGAGACGAAACCGGTGGCGAAACCATGCGTAAGTCATACTTGTTTTATACTTATGTTACAATACTTAAACTAAAAATATTAGGTATAGTATGATTATAAAAGCCACATGATTTCCAAACCATGAGATGAATGGCATGAACGTCAATTTCACAATTATAATTTTTTTTCTTGGAAATGAAATAAATTTTCCATCTAAAAAGAAATAAAGAAACACGGGTGAACCTTGCTCGGTTGATGAAACATCTTTATTAATAATAGGCTAATGGTTCTGGTCATACACGAGTATTTAAGATTACTATCGACTCGTCTGACGATTTAAGTAAAAGAAAGAAAAGCGAAAGATGGTATTACATGAACATTTTCACTTATGCGTAAAAGATATTTGCAATTTTGTAGTATGGGAAGGGCAGGGGCAGAGTAGGCGGAATGAGGTTTAGCCGAACCCCCTTCGCCGAAAATTATACTGTCTATGTAAGGTTAAATTTTTTTCATGAATATATATAAGGTATTGAATTCCTGTAACTTCTTTGCATAGTTTGGTTGGTTCACAATATACATACTATTAACGAACATTTGGATTCTATTACAGAGGGAGCTTGTGGCTATGGAAATTTGTTCCACCAAGGGTATGGCCTGGAAACAGCAGCACTAAGCACAGCACTTTTTCACAATGGGGCAACCTGTGGAGCTTGCTTTGAAATAATGTGCGTAAATGCTCCTCAATGGTGCAATGCAGGGGTAAAAATTACAATAACAGCCACCAATTTCTGCCCTCCAAATTACACAAAAACTGTAGATGTTTGGTGTAATCCTCCCCAAGAACACTTTGATTTATCAGAGCCAATGTTTTTAAAAATAGCCAAATATAAAGCAGGGGTTGTCCCTGTAGTTTATAGGAGAGTCAAGTGCCAGAAAAAAGGAGGGATTAAGTTTGAGATTAAAGGGAATCCTTATTGGATTCTTGTTCTTGTTTACAATGTGGGAGGTGTTGGAGATGTGGCCAATGTCAAAATTAAAGGATCTAAAACTGGTTGGATTACTATGTCGAGAAATTGGGGCCAAAATTGGCAAACTTCTGCACAATTGATAGGACAGAGCTTGTCTTTCCAAGTACAAACTAGTGATGGCCAATGGGTTCAATCTGATAATGTTGTTCCTGCTAACTGGCAATTTGGTCAGAATTTTGAGGCGACGAATAATTTTAACTCTTGATATATTGAGGAAATGATTAATCGTTTTTAATCAATAGAGTTTATCGATCTTTTCTTTAAATTTGTGAAATTTTTTCAAAGAGATTTTGACACTATAATTTATGGATGAAGTGAAACTATTTATCTAGGTAAGGTACAAGCTACAAACTAAATTTGACAACAATATTTTTCTAACACCTGCCTTGATGTTTTTAAGCAAATGAATATCCTCCTACTCTTTATTGATCTTTTCATTATTGACAGTCATAAAAAATTCATGAATATTATATCAAGTATTCTACTTTAATTAATTGCCAATTACTCATTTTGCCCATCGATAATCATTGATATACATGACTATGAATTTTTGCACTTTTTGTCCCTCAAATATCAACAAACTATTGTATTTACATGCGCTTCGTGCAATCATGAGAAGATAAAAAATATATAATAACTAAATTTTAGGATCATATTTTTTATAAAAGAGAATTTATCTTTACTAATCAAACATCATTTCATGATTTAAGCACTTTTAAGCTTCTTCTAACATCTTTTATTTAAAAAAGAAGTATGAGAAAAATTTTCAGGTTTAATTTAATTCGAACGTCTAAGTACCCCATCTAATCAATATTTGTGTTAGATTTCCAAATTCTCAGGGACCTTCTATAGATTTCCATTGGTCTTGAAATATGCCGCCAAACTCGAAATCTGATCATATTGACCCCCAGAGTTTTATTTTTTAATGGGGGTCGAAAAAATGTGCGAAAGAATGTATAATAACTTACACTAATAATGTGCAGGGGCTTCGGAGAGAAACGCTTGCCCATGAGTTACGGGTTCGGTCGACCGAACCCAGTAGCTTTAGTCCAAACCTTATATTTGGCTTATGAAATTCATTGAATATGTACTAAATTATTAATTATTGATTTAGAACTCAATAACTTAAAAGAATTAGAACTCCGAACCCATAACTTTCAAATTCTGGCTCCGCCTCGGATTACTTTTATACTTAGAGTAACAAAAAATTGGTTTCCTTTACTCAAGCACTGTGCTATAATTCAAAATCAGCACTTAACATTTCATTTACTATTTCAAGAGGTTAAAATGCTAAACTTCGGAAGTTAATATCTAAAAATAAACCTACAAGTAAGAATATAAAAAGAACAAATAGATTAATTAGAAAAAATAGTTAGAAATCAGAAACGTGTCACGCAACATTACACCTAATAATTATAAGATAAATTGCAATAAATATTGAACATCAAAAGGGGAAAAGGAAGAAACAATAATGCAGAGAAAAAAAAAGAACATCTAGAAGAAAAATGGTGGCAGAAAAAAGAGAAAAGATAGTAACAAAAAAAGACAAATGGATAAATTTCAGTGATAGAAAAATATTAGTAAAATATGTATAAACATAAACTTACGAATCAGTCACCTCTTCATGGTTTTTTCTAAATGGCAATATATCCCTTTCTGTATGAGTTCTAAAAAATGGAAAAAAATAAAACACATAAATAAGAAAGAAAAAGTTTNCTTCTGCATAACAACTGAATTGGCCAAGCCTGCTTGCTCAATTGTTTGGCTTGGATCACTAAGGCTTTTAGGAGGAAAACCAACTGTCTGTAGTTGGTAATCCCCTATGGCACTGGGCCTTGAAGCATCGATGAAGGCACGAATATCACCAACTGCATGATGGTAATTGAAGGGTGCAACTATGCGGGTTCCATCAGCAAGTCTAAGTTGAAGTGAGGTTGATGGCAATGATTCATCCACAAGGAACGTAGAAGGTGTTTGGGTGTTGATAGGGGCAGAGGCAGATAGCTCTGAAGTTGCTATAGTTGAGCTGCTGCCTAGTGTTCTTCCCACTCCTTGAAATGGAACTTGAGGTTTCTCTGGTTCAAATGCACCTGGGACCTACTATCCAGTGGCGAAGCCAGGAAATTCAATAAGGGTGTTCAAATTTGAATATCCTTTGTCAGTGGGCTATACAAGGGTGTTCAAAGTCTATTTTTAATCAATAATTAGTAATATTTTACCTTATATGTAGTATAATTTTTCGGCGAAGGGTGGTCAGTTGACCACCCTTCAACCAAAGTAGCTTCGCCCCTGCTACTATCTGCAGGTGCCAGCTCTCTTGAACATTTGGACTTCCCAATACTCTCCAGAAAAGATGCATTTTTAGGATCATCCAATCTCCTCAAAGGACCACCATTTACAGTAAAACCATTTCTCCAGAAGATAATGTTATGTACAATGGACTCAGGAGGTTGAGGAGCTGGTGCAGGTACTGTCTCCCCTGAAAGCGTTCTCCCAGTTCCACTAAAGTTTCTTGAGCTTGAACTAGGACGGATACTTTCCAAAGGACCTTGCATTGCACTCATTTGTTGGATTTGAAGGCTATTTGGCATCTGGGTCTCAGCAGAAATAGGCCAGTTGTATATAAGTTAGTTGTATAGGCTTTTATTTTGTTAAGTTTTGGTTTATAATTTCTGGATTTAAGACATTTGGCCCAATGTATATATAGTATAGTTTGTACAAATTTGGACGGTTTTGCCATTCGAATATACAAAAATATCTGAAGCTCTCTTTCTCTCTCATTTTTGTTCTCATGAACCCTAGTTAGATTTTCATGGCGATTTGGCTTATATTCAAAGTTATCATGGTATCAGAGCACAGATTCTTATAGATCTGGTCCTCCGTTTTCATCTGATATTACCCTCACAAAGTTTTGTCCAAGTTTTCTTCATCTTCGATTTCGTCTGTTTCGTGTCGCCTCTCTATTTTACAGTAGTTTCTGATGATTCTCTGCTCTGCGATGGTTTATTCTGATATTTTCCGGGGATTTTAGTTTGTTCTGAGAAGTTACGAATGAGAATTTGGTTTTGGTCGGAAATTGAACTCGGGCTTTGACATTAATATGGGTTCGAGTGGATTTTTCTTGTGTTTCTGAGATTCAAGAGGTCAGTTGAAGTTTGTTTTAACCTTGAAGGTTGTCTTCTTCTGGTTGCGAAGAAGTGTGGTACCTCTTACCCTATCCTTTTCATACAGTGTTGGTGTGAATTTTTCTTTGTTGGTTTCAGTGATTTTAACCCTCAATTGCCTCATTGCATGTATAATATTTGTTCTCAATTGAGTCAAATATGACTATAACTAGTTCTACCCCTGCTAGCTCTACAAATATTCCAGATCCTTCTGGTCCTTTATTCATACATCCCTCTGATATTTTGGGTACTTGTTTGGTGCAAGTTCCATTTTCTGGAATCGGGTTTGGGGGTTGGAAGAGAAATATGATAGTGGCATTGTCAGCAAAAAATAAGATAGCTTTTATAGATGGAACATGTTCTAAACCTGCTGATGTTGCTCCTGAATTATGACTTTGGAATAGATGTAATAATATGACAATATCTTGGTTAGCTAGCTCCTTATCACCTGAAATTGTCGAGAGTGTTCAATATTCTGAAGCAACCGAAAGCATTTGGAATCAACTTGAAAAACGATATGGAACTATAAATTGAACCAAAGTTTTTGAGATTAAAAAAGAGTTAGCCTCTACTTGTCAAGGGTCTCTTGATATAGCATCATACTTTAACAAATTAAAGAAGTTGTGGGATGAGTTGGCATTCATCTGAAAGAATCATATGAGTTCGTGTAGTTGTTCTGCTAAATCTGGTTTTACAACAGGAGTTAGAGGAAGACAAGGTATATCAATTTTTAATGGGGCTCAATGAAACTTATGTTAGTATTAGGGGTAATCTTCTTATGATGCAACCACTACCTTAACTTGATACTATTTACAATATCTTACTCCAAGATGAGAGTCAGAGACATGTAAATTCTACTCCTCATTTCAATTCAGAGTCAGCCTCCTTCAATACAAATGCTAGTCACTTTCCTAAGCCTCTTCTTCCACCACAAAAACAACAATACAACCAAAGGGTAGGTTTTGACCAGAAGATGCATGTTGATCAGACCAGGGGTTCTTTATTCTGCAGATACTGCAAAAAACCTGAACATTTGATTGACAAATATTATAAACTTCATGGTTTTTCCTCTAACTTCAAATTCACTAAGAGTAAAAGAACTGTAACAAATATTACTGTTGAACCTGAGTCTTCTGATAGTGGACATTATAACATTACTGGTTCTTCTCATTCTGGTGTCTCTAGTTCTCCTGAGCAAAGTTCCGTGATTCCTGGTCTGAGTATGCAGCAGTACAATCAGTTGATGACTTTACTGCAACAGTCCCACTTATCAGATTCTAATCCTCAGTCTAATCTGATGGCTTCTCCCAATTTTGCTTGTACTCTACTAACTGATGATCTGCTGAATGGTTCTAGTTCTAGTTCTTGCATGCTTTCTCAATCAATATATTTAACATGGATAGTTGACTCTGGTGCTACTGGCGTCTAATAAAGATTTTCTATCAAACCTTACTTCTTTACCTGTGCCTTATCTTGTATCACTTCCTAATGGCTATAAAGTAAAAGTGACTTGCACTGGTTCTTTTGTTTTAAATTCTTCTTTCATTCTTCACAATGTTCTCTATATTCCCTCTTTCCAACACAATCTGATCTTTGTACATATGATTATAAAATAATTTAAATGTTTTGTTCTGTTCGCTTATGAATCTTGTTTACTTATACCATAGGGCTCTTCTCTGAAGAAGCCTCTGGATCTTGGTAAACTGGATAGTGGCCTTTACAAGCTTGTGTGGAAAAGTCCTTCCTCTCATTATCAACTTTTCACCAATTTAGATTCCACAAATAGTATTGTCTCATCTTGTGTTCACCTTGTTTCTCCCATGACTAATGTTGTTTCATCTTGTGTTCATTCTTCTACTTGTAATTCTGGTTTTATTCTGCCTGATGTGTGTGATATTCCTTTTAATTGTAGTACTACATAGCTTGCGACCTACACATATCTATTTATACTACTCGCAATCTTTCTTCAACTTGCTTGTATCGTAGATTCCCTTGTGTTATTTTCGAATATCAAACGAGACATCATATCGTCTCTAAATCCCCTTTACTTTCTTAGCTAGACCTCTCGATACTTAGAAACCATAGGTTGGAAGATATGCCACTAACGATGCCGCTATCATTTCTGGATACTGAACCCTGGCGCTTCTAGCCTTCTATCTGAAGTATGGACCATTCACAACCTTCTGTACTTGAGTATGTCGTACGTTTTTCACCTTTACCTTACTTGCCTTAAAATCTCGCATCACATATTTTATTTCTTTCATAACCTCTCTTCCATGTAGGTATAATTCACATGTACAACTTGAAGCTCTATTGTAATACTTGCACCTCTAGTGCATACGCAATGGAGCTTCATACTGACTTCTTATGAGGTTGGTACTCTTCTAACAAGCTTTATTATTGAGCCATTATCAAATATGGCTACTGTACGATCTCTTTTGTACTTCTGATATTACGAGTAATCCTGTAATGTTCTCAATCACGATGTCAATAATTTTTTTTTGGATTCAATAATCAAATTCCTGATTTACTTAGTTGATGTAACTTTTTAGTTTCCCCTTCCTTATGATCAGGCTTTATGTAGGCTTAATCTATCTTCCGATCTGCGGCTCATGGTATTTAATTATCACTTTAGCCTTTTATGGACACTATGGGATATCCATGATATAATCTTTTTAACAATTTAATCCTTTGTCATAACCTAGACTCAATTATTTCTTTCAACATATATGTTGCATGGATAATATTTCAAAATCTTAAGTACGTTCATAACATAACTAACTCTAGATCATTGATCGAATAATTCTTTTCATCCCTTCTCAACTTTCTTTAATTGCAAGCAATTGCTTTTTTGGTCATTCTGCCACTTGTTGCATGAATACTTGGCTTATCTTAGTTCCCACGCATATTGGAAGTTTCGTGCAACTCATATGATCTCGAATGCTACTTTTGATTTTTACTCCCCGTTCATTAGCCATGGTTGGTGCCACTTTCTTTTGGAGTTCATACAATTTTGTTGTGAGACTGTTGTTACAAGACCATTTCCTCTTTAGGTCACTAATCTTAAGTTGAACCCTTCTTCCTTATTTCCTAAGCTAGTCTTTCATTGTAGTACTTATGGAGGACCCTCTGACTCTTATAAAGATGCGAGCTTATTACATCGTATACTCTACGGACCTTTTGATGTACTTCCTTGCCTATAATTATCCGTAGTTACTTACCTCCACGCCTTTGTGCTTGTAGGGTTGCTTCTGAACTTGATATTTTGACTGTCTTCCTAGTGGCATTCTCTTTTATTTCAGTAACACTCATATGGTACCTTAACTATCCCAACTCCTATCTGAATCTTTCTCAAGTATTACAGTGATACTATTGCAAGATTGAATTCACTATATTGGGTTTTACTATGTTTATCTTGCACAATCTGCTGACTCATCTGTAACCTCCTGTCTAGCCATAACTAAGCTCTTCCTGAATCAACTAGCAACTACTTGTTGTCCCATTCTCATATCAATTTTCCGCGTAATCTTTCTTGGGTTATTTTCTTTGTCTTAACTTACCTTTCGCAATGGCTCCTTATTTATCAATAACATCCCGGACAGGAACCCTTACTTCCTTTCCTTGACGTCATGTTTGTATAATATTCTGGAATCGTAGCATATTTGTGGGATTTGAATAAGTGCAACCTCATCCCTTTCTCATTGTTATCGCATTCTTCCTTTACCATTCCATGGTTACTAGAACCACTTAATTCTGACTTAATATCACGTTACTCCATATTCCCCCATTTAGTGGAGTACTAAGAATTAGAGCTACGACAATCTACCTATGGATGTTTTACCTCTTCATTTTTGACATCTTTTCACATCATCGATGACCCTTACTCGCCTTGCAGTAATCCTTCTGTACTAAGGATAACGAAATTCCTTAATCGCGAGGGTGGCAATTACTATAACTGGCACATACAGTCTCTTAAGCTTAACGTTGCTCACATTGATTGCTTTTAGGGAAGCGTCTTCCTGAATGACCATTCTTTGAATTTCTCATGAATCTTCTTTTGTTGTCCATTCTGTTATCGCCGGAATGAAATTTGAAATTATCATGATGTCGACCACTATCAAATCACTCAACCCCTAATTCATGTTTAGTTTATGTTATTCACCAGCCCATACTGATTGCTATTATTCCGAGGTCTAACTTTTTCCTTCTGGTAGTTGTGTTAGAGTCACGAACTTATTTCTCAAAGTGAGGATATGACATTATGGCCTATACTCTTTTGTTGTCTCAAGGCCAGTCACCTCTCGTATTTCCCTTCACTTGACTATAGGCTCTGTAATACTGTCATTTTTTGATCTATCATTGTCATCTATGTATCACGTCTTACTCATAATGCTTCATTAATTCTCTTCTTATTTCTTGCTAACATT